ACACACACACACACACACACACACACACACAATTACAACCCATACGATGTGTCCCTCTCAGCCCATGTTAGCTCTTGCAAGCTCTGTGCTGTTCAATGGGAGTTTTACGGTGCTCACAACTACATTAGGTCCTATGAGTGCTCGAAACATATTGTATTCATGACAGCTCACGGCTTGGTTTCATGTTATGTTTAACTTCAACATTAAATTTAGGCTAAAAATTTTGAGAAGATAAAGGCTCCAAATCACACTCGATGGATAGACAGGGGGAAGCAAGTGTCTCTAGAGGGTCGGGGAGGGACAGCAAACTGCGCGGAAAAGCCAGAAGAATAAATCCTGCCAGCTGATAACTGGCACGATCAGCAAGCAGACCCTTTCATGGATCCAGGAGAGAGAGAGGGGAGTAGCTATGGCTATGACATTGTGCCGCCTGCGATGATACCTATTCTCCAACCAAGTAACCAAGTAACCAGGTAACCAAGTAATGGTAAAAATCTAATTCTAAAATACCAATAGTGTACCCAGCTATCTTGAAAAGAAGTCAGGATAATATTTGCAGTTGAAGGAGGTGGGGTGACCTGATGTCAGTGGTAAAAGTAGCGAGGAAACGGTCTCCAAAGTTTGGTGACTTCCAAAGTTGTAGTGTCCTAGGAAACTACGAATTTACTTGTTTTTCACCTTTGATCAACCTTTTTCTGTGAAGTCCAAGCAGTAACGTGCTTTTTCAGTGGGCATAAAACTTTTAAAGAGGTGTTGAGCTTAAATCAAAACAAAATCGATAAACATTTCGGAAAGGGCGGAAAAAATATCGATTTCTTCAATGTGATTCTTTTGACAAGTGCCTGATTCCACCATGATACTTCATAAGTTACATTTTTTTTCAAAAATTATAATTATTACCAATTGACCTTTGTTTTGTACTGAGAGAAGGGAAAGGTCCAGCTCCCGTTGAAAAAGATGGTGTTGACAAGAACAAGTGCCGTGAGATCGTTCACAGTGCCGGGAGGAAGAAGGTTCTGGATCATGTCGCTCGTCTTCTCCGCCACCCAGGTGTTGATGGGTACTTCCGGCCCGCCCTGGGCGCTGAGGTCAAGGTTCCTCGATACCGCCTGATATTGGGACGTGGCCAGGTCGTGGAAGGACGGCCTGGACAGAGAGATATCGTGCTGGTATTACGTGACAAATAAACGTCTGGTACTGGACAGGGATATATTGTGCTGGTATTACGTGACGAATAGATGCCTTTGTGCTTTGAATAGGTCGGCCGCCCTTTCCTACATTGTGGAGTTATTGATTGCGTTTCGACGCGGTGGAATCAGACACTCGTCACTTTTGATGAATATGAGTGTTAGTATCACGTGAACGCTTGTTTATCTAGCCTACTTTTGAGGGAAAATACTCAGTGATCTGGAAAAGAGGTAGAGACATTTGAGACTGAAAGAGGCGGGGGTCGCCTGGTGTAAGAGGAAAGATTAGCGAGAAAATGGCACCCAAAATTAAGTGATTTCCAAAGATTGAAAGTCCTTGGAAACTGCAAACTTACTTCTTTTTTTTTTTTGGTGCTTCCGGTCAATGCAGTTCAGTAAAATTCACACACAAATGTGTTTGTAAATGGACGTAACAGGTATTGAGCCATATTAGGTTTAGGAAAGCAATATTATGCCTAATGGGTGAAAGAAGAAGAAGAAGAAGAAGAAGAAGAAGAAGAAGAAGAAGAAGAAGAAGAACAACAACAACAACAACAACAACAACAACAACAACAACAACAAGACAGGCGGTTAATTTACGTACTCAATAGGCAGTCCAGGTTTTACGAAAAGTCCATTGGCCACGTGAACTTTGACCATTGTGTCTGAGGTCAGCTCGCTATTCCACCGGCGGTAAGCATTGTGAAAGGTTTGTAGCTCGCCATCTTTCAACTGGTGTCAGAGAAGATCATAAGATCAGGTAAGATTAAAAGAATATTAATAAAATAAGATATTTAATCAGATAAGATAATTAAGGACTCCGTATTATCTTACGATTTTGATAGAGCAAATAGAACATAATTTTGTTTCTGACCTCATGGTCTCAGTAGTCTAAGAGGATATTCGGAGACGTCTCCGGCGAGCACCCAGGAACTATTCGGAGACATACTCCCGCACACAGAGGCACTGCTTTGGGGGGTCAAACTGCGTATTGCTAGCTGCAGATCACACATAATATAGCCAAATAGCCACTAAAACGGTGGCAAATCTACCATTTTCAAGAAAATTTCAAACCTCCCAACAAAATATCAAATGTGAAGTGTGCTGACAAAATAAGTTACTTCTCAGAATTTAGACAGACGGAAATAGAAACATCAAATTTTTAAGTTGAATTTTTACAATTTTTCAGTATGAAATTATAAAAGACATGTTAAACTTGAAGAGAATGGCATTGGTTTAGACTCTACAAATATGACCCTTGTGTTGATTTTTGGCTGATATCTCCATTCATGGATTGCGAGAAGCAACTCATT